CATCCAAAGAGGCCAAAGAGGATCTCTCCAGAGCCAGTGGGGAAAAGGCAAGAGGAATCGGGCTCAGTTCCTCTCCATTCTCTGACCTGGATGGTGTCTGCAGCTTTCTGGGTTCCAGTATCTTTCAAAGCCTCCCCATCTCCCATGCAGACCTCACAGAGCCTCAAAACTAGCCCTACAGTTGCCGCACCCTGACCTTACTTTGACATTCTCACGTTGAATTTTGCTGAAATGATCAGACCAGAGTGGACCTTCTGTTTCTCGACACGATCCTGACAGATACTGTCACTTAATGAGTCAGGGCACCCGGGTCATGTCTTACAGGCACTATAGCCTTCACACTCAATGGCATTTTTATCTCCACTTTGAAGATGAGCTCAGCATGAAAAGGCATCTGTCACCAAGCATGATGACCTGGGTTTAGTCCCTAAAGACCCATATGGTGGAGAGAGAGTACAAACTCCCACAGTTGTCCCCTGACCTCTGTGCCCACTATGACGCACGCACGCGCGTACACACACACACACACACACACACATACACACAATGAATAAATAAATGTGTGCTAAAAAACTTTAAAGACAGTTCTTGCTGGGGGCCTGGCTCAGTAATAAAGTTTTTTCTCAGCATGTACAAGACCCTAGGTTCAAGAATTTGCATTGGATAAAAGAGACTAGTTTGTTTGAGACAGGGGATCTTGTAGCCCAAGCTGGCTTGGAACGTGCTATGTAACTGAGGCTGGTCCTGAACTTGTGACCCTTCTGCTTCCACCTGCTAAATGCTGGGATTGCCATCCTGTGAGACCCTGCTTGGCAAAATGCCAGTTCTTACTTCTCCCCTCAGATATTTCACCAGGAAGCACATGCACTTTAAAAAACAAAACAAAACCCATTATTCTGTGTGCTCTGTGTTTGTGCTTTCTGAGTTTCAGAATTTCAGGAACAACTTAAAATAATGTGCTGGATATTGGCTTTGTGGGAGCCTAGGCAGTTTGGATGCTCACCTTACTAGACCTGGATGGAGGTGGGTGGTCCTTGGACTTCCCACAGGGCAGAGAACCCTGATTGCTCTTTGGGCTGACGAGGGAGGGGGAACTGATTGGGGGAGGGGGAGGGAAAGGGGAGGCAGAGGTGGGGAAGAGACAGAAATCTTTAATAAATAAAAAAAAAATAATGTGCTGGGTTTTTGTTTAGATGTTGCTATGTGAGCAGGAGCGGTGTCACGCACCTTTAATCCCAGCACTTGGGAGGCCGAGGCAAGCAGAGCTCTGGGTTTAAGACCAGCCTGCTCTACCTATCGACTTCCAGGCCAGCCAGGGTTACTTAGCGAGACCCTGTCTCAAAGAAACAAACCAACAAAAGTTGATGCTGCCACTAAAAGGCGGGCACTTGAAGTCTTCTTCCTAAAATGCTCATGAGTGTTGAGTCCCAAAAGAGCTGGATCTCACAGCGATAAACACAATAATAGGTGGCCTGACAATATTTTATTTCTAAACTTGACCACAAAGTCAGGAAGGTAAAACAAAAATGTTTTTAATATTTTGGTTCAAACTGACTGGTATTTACTAATAGAATGTTAAAGAAAAATCTTGGTGTGTTCTTCTTTTCTTGGTTGGTTTAGTGATCCTTTTGCCTCGACCGCCAAGCTCTGTGGTCACAGGCATGTATCACTAAGGAGGTTGAGATTTTTCCTTTTTAGTTGACACATAGTAACTGTTCATATTTATGGGGCAAAGTGTAACAGTACAATGCATATATAGTGTCATAGTCAAATCAAGAAAATTAGCATTTTGTCTCTTTATTTCTCTGTTCAGATTTCTATCTTCTGAAGAAACGGTTCAGCTAGAAAGATGCTGGCTGTCAGGCTTCATGACCTGAGCTCTATTCCTAAAACCCACATGGTAGAAGGAGAGAGCTGACTCCTAAAAACTGACCTTTGACCTCCACACATGCATTATGGTATGTGCACACACACACCACTCATAAATAAACGTAAAAAAACCCTCTTCTAGTTCTTTGTAAAATATACGGTAAGCTATTGTAAACTGTAGTCAGACAAAGGATGTTAGTAGTTATTCCTCAAAGCTTGTTTAAAGAACTCAATCTCTCATTGTTCTCATCTGATTTAGAGACGGGGTGGATAGGGTTCTGAGGACTGCTCACAGTTGAGACTCAGAGGGAGGTCTAGGTCTGGGGAGAAGGCCCTCACAGTGAGGGGACCTAGGGAAAGTCAGATGTCCCCATTCACCTACCACTTAAGAGGACTACACAGCATCCCAGCTACAGTCTAGATTTACAGGGGAATTGAGGGATCGTTGTGGTCAGGTTCTTGCCCTTGAGAACTTTCCCTTCTACTGGGTTACTTGATTTAACAGAAAGACAATGATTGAGGAGGGGCTACACTTGCCAAATAGTATGGGCCACACAGAGCTTTTCGTGCAGAATATCAGCTACAGGCAGCAAAGAACTGCTGAGCCCCCAAGCAGAGCTGGGGACAAGGCAGGACATGGTATCCGGTGCCTCAAGTAGCGAGGAGACTGGCCATGTGAAGGGAACAAGGAGTCCTATGAAGGCAGACGCTGGTCGGGTTGCCAAGGGCTTGGTTTAGACTCAGCCATGAGGAACAGCCCCAAGGTGAAAGGGGAGTTTTATAAAGATGGGATTTGCCGATATGGGCAGAATGAAATAAGGAAATGCAAGAAAACACATCCCGAACTCTCAAAGTCTTTGATAGCCATCAATCCATGTAGGTCTTGAGCTGAGTGTTTCTTCACAGAGACGTCCTTCCTAGGACAATGTTTGTTCTTTTCACCCTTTGTGAACTTGCTGTGTAATGGAAGAAATCTTGAATTTCTTATCTTCCTGCTTCCACTTCACAGCGCTAGGATTATGAGCATATACCACTATTCCTGGGTCATGGCACCAGAAATCAAACTCAGGTCTGCATGCACAGTAGAGAGTCACTGTACCAAATGAACACCTTCCTAGCCCCATCTTCTCTTCAATGAACTTTACTTATCCTTCCAAACACTTCTGTGAACCGGGCATGGTAGCACACGTCCTGAAGTCCCTGTGTTCAGTGGGAGAGGCAGAGGGCCACTGCAAGTCCAGGACCAGACTCACTTACAGAGCAAGTGCTTGGCCAGCCAGGGAGATATATTGAAGTCCTGCCTCAAAAAAGCCCAGAATGAGTCTGATGTGGTGACACAAGCCTGTTCCTGAGCACTTGGAGACAGGCAGACTAATCTCTTCACCCAATCTATTGATAAATAGTGAGTTCCAGGCCAGCCAGAGCAACTTAGTGAGTCTCTATCTCAAAAATAATATAAAACAACAAAAATGAAAAACCCTAGAGAAGCAGGCCTTTCCGCCTTTCTTTTGGATGGTGACCTGAGTCGAAGTATGCTTTTTCCAGTACTTTGGACTTTTTCACTTTTTCTAAAGCTCCCCTTTCTGCCTCATGACTGACTTCAAGCCTAACTCAAACAGTGTGGCTCTCCCTCCCTCTTTAAGCTCCCATCTATGAATATATAATAAACCTTTCTCTAAAACTCAAAGCAACAGTAACAACGACAACACAATGTTCCTGCCCTGGAGCCCCTATCAATCTCAGAAGTTCTTTTTCACATTTCCTTAGTAAATATATTCACTGTTGGGAGAAAACAAAACAAAACAAAAAAAAAAAAACAAAATTCCACAAATACAAAACCAAGTTCAGAGACAACTTAGGCTACATATTGAGGTCAGCCTAAGAATGAAACTCTGATTTAAAAAAGCCACACAGTGGCAGGGCAAGGACTGTATCTGGGTGGTAGAGCTTTTGCCTGGTATACATGGAGCTCTGGATGCAGCCCCCATACCACAGAACAAATAACAATTAAAAACAACCCCTCATGGATCATGTCTTTAATCCCAGCACTCAGAAGGCAGAGGCAGGCAGGTTTCTGGGCCACCATGTCTGACTTTTTGTGATTTTTGTTGTTGTGACCGATTGTCATACAGTCAAGGCTGGTTTTGAACTCCTGATTCTCCTGCCTCCACCTTTTAAGGACTGGAATTACAGGCTTGCACCATTATGCCCAAACCTCCTGCCTTGGCATCCTGACGTCTGGGATTACAGATGTGTCACCACCTCTGGATTTGAATATGCCGACATTTGCTCACACATAGTACTGATCGACTGGTGTTCCAGGGCTGGGTCCAGGGATTTGGCTTGAGACTCTGGCTGATCAACTTTCCTTCCACATCTCACCCCAGCCCAGGCTTTGGCCTGCTGAGCCTCAGAGGCACCTGGCCTGCTTCCTTCAACAGCCGCTGACCTTTTGTCTCGGGTCCAGCTGCTTGTTTATCTTTCCTAGGCCATCTGAGCCATTAAAAGAATGGATTAGTTTGTTTTTCAGCTTCCCTGTTCTTTAGACTTCTGTTTCCTTGCTTGACAAGATAAAGAAGTTGGACTGATCTGTTTTTAGCAGATATTTTTGTTGTTGTTGTTATCAGGGGGAAGGGTCAGGAAGGAATGCTCAATATGAAACAGAGAATGAGAGACTTACTCTGTTGTTTTCTACTGCGATGTTTATCATTGCATCCTAAACCAGTAGTTACTGGACAGAGCGTGCTGAGGCCCTGTGTGTTGCAAGTCGGTGCCATTATTCCTGACCTATAGGGTCTAAAGCCCACCCAGCAGTCTGTGCAGAGCTAGCTTTATGCTCTGGGTCAGAAGAAAGTTGAGAAGAGACAGTCAAAGGTCTGAAGGTTTAGAGGTAGACCTCAGAAAATGGGTGGGTGGGGCTTGAAAATGGGAAATTGGGGTTCCAGGCAAGAGAGAGGCCCAAATCAAAGTTGCAAGGGCTGACATAGGCCAGCTGTGTCTGAGAACCTTGGTGTTGGGAGTTTATTGGAGAGGACAGGACAGCAGATGCAGACAGTAGATGGTAATGAAGACAGGGACACAGGTTTTTTATTTTAATTGCAGCTATTTATTGTCTGTGTATCTACGTGTGTTTGTGCATGCACTCACATTTACAGTATACAAAGGTCAAAGGACAACTTACAAGAATTGGTTGTCTCCTTCTATCATGTGGATCCTGGGAATAAAATGCTGATTGTCAGGCCTGGTAGCAAGTTCCTCTATGTACTAAGCCATCCCGCTAGACTGAAGGAGAGCCGCGTCTCTGAGTGGGGATTTCAAACCCACTCTGTGGCTGACTCTGAGGGTCTTGCACTGGGCAAATGCTTCTGTGACAAGTGTTTGTACAGGCTGCTGCAGGGGGGGCGTAAAGGGTCAAATGACTTGGGGAAAAGCCTTGCATGCTTTGGCAGGCAGGTTTAAATTTTATTCCGTGGGAATGGATGAGTTTGGTAGTGGAGCAAAAGAGAGGTTTCCTACACGGGTTTGTGTTGTTGCTGGTACAAACAGTTTATATGCACCACATTCCAGTGAGAAGGGGCGGACAACTGCAGGAGTCTGTTCGCTTCTCCCACCTCGTGGGTCCCAGGGATCAAATTCAGACGGCCAGGCTTGGCTGCAAGTGCCTCTCTCCTCTGATCCACCTCATAGCCCTCTTTAGCATACATTTAATATTGAATTACTATTTGAAAAACATGATAGGGACAGAGGTCCCCTGCCAAAGACTTGATTATAAAGCTTTATCCTCATGATCCCGGAACTCCAAACTCATCAGTCTCTCTCTGTTTAACAGTCAGACCAACCACATGAAAAGGCCAAGTTTACAGACTGAGCAAACACAGATGAAGGAGAGACTGACCTGCGGGCCTGAGAGTCTGGTTTCTGGATCCCAGCTGGGTTTTAGGATTTCTTCTTTCAGATAGTTCATTGCTTATCGTAGGCACAAACATTTCTTGAGTGTTTGAGAGGCCAGGATGGTTTAGGTTGTAAAGACTGGGAAGTTCCTGGTCTGATGGAGGAAGCGATCATTAAGCCATAAAGATAAACAAAGAAGATCATAATATAAACAAAGGCTGAGCTCGAGGAGCACAGAAGGGCTCAGGCAGTCAAGCCTGGAGAGCGGCAGGGTGGATGCACAGCTACTGAACACTCTACCGTGGTCCATACAGTCCGCACTAACTCATTTGCTCCTCAGCTCACAACAGCCTGAATGGGGTTGGTTTCTTCCCACGTCCCCCTGCTTTTTCTTTACTGGGGATTAACATCTAGGAAGGTGCTCTTCCAGGAATCTTTACCCCTAGACCTCCATTTACTTACTTATTGAGATGAGGTTTCAACAGGTTGCTCAGGCTTGGCTCTGTAGTTCAAACAGGACTTGAACTTGAGACCGTCTTGCCTCAGCCTCTCACTGGCTAGGGTTATAGGCCTGCACCACAACGTTAGCTATACATTGTGTTATACTATATATATTTTGGTGTTGTTGTTGGGTGTTTGTTTCATTTTGTTTTTAAACAGGGTCTCTTGTAGCTCAGGTTGCCCTGGAACTTGTCATGATATAAACTACTTTTTTTCTATGACCATCTAGACCCATTTTCTTTTTTAAGCCCACATTTTTCTAAACACACTGTAACCTGTTTAGAGTTTTTTTTTTTTTTTTCCATTTGCCTCTGTCTTTACTGAGCATCTGCAGCATTCTCTGAGCGAGTGAGACAAATCTTAAACTGCTACGTCAGCTGCTGGCATGGCTCGGCTTAGTGCATGGCACTGGCACATGGTGCTGGCGGCTGGTTCCAGCAGGCAGGCAGTCTCCATACACCAAGCCTACCCAAGAGACCGCGGTCATCAGGAAGCTGTGTCTGATTCCATGTTCCGAACTTTTCTTTTAAGCTTTTTTAGGCCTTAAGTGAATATACATGGTCAGAAGTTGGGTACTATATGTAGTGAATCTTTTTCTGTTCCACCAGTCAGCTCACAAATGACAAGGAGATTATAATTAATATAATTATGAAAACTTAGGCTTGTTTCTAACTAGCTTTTATAACTTAGATAAACCCCTCTCTTCTAATCTACATTGTTTTACATGGCTCAGATACTTATACTCTGTACTGCCCATGCAGCTGCCTCTCCATCTGGCTGGTGACTCCACCTTTCTTTTTCCCAGCGTCCTCTGTGCCTGGAAATCCTGCCTTGCTATTGACTACTCAGCTTTTTATTAAATCAATCAGAGTGGCATATCTTCACATTGAACAAAAAGATTATTCCACAATAGTCTCTTGTAGGTCAGGTTGCCCTAGAACCTGCCATGATATAGCAAAGGAATCCCTTTAGCTCCTGGTCCTTCTGCTGGAAACACAGGCGTTCACTGCACACTGTGCTCTGAAGCTCCATATGTTTCTTTCCCTCATTTCCCCCAGAAAGGGACATTCAAGCTGTGAGCTGATGATAAGAGTAAGACTAGAAGGGGGTGAGATGCCCTGTATGTATCACCTGAAGTTTATACAAAGAGCGAGGATATTCAGCCACAAAAGGTGTGCAATATTCCACTAGGCGGTGAGATCTCACTGCTGAGGACACAGCATGCTCTCTGGCTGTAGGACACACTGAAATCCAGCTGTGGCCCTGGGAACCACAGCACGGACCCACTAGGTGAGAGGAGCCCACTGGTGCAATGGTGTCAAGTCTGCTGTGGGGTAACCAGTTGCTTTCTAATTGCATTTGAGGCCCACTCCATGGAAAGGAACTCTTGTCTGGGATTGTAAAACTGGACAAAAATGCATGGTTCAGAGGCCATAGGCTACAGGGAGGAAGCTACTGCTGTCGCTTGGTAACGGGCATGATACGCCTGTCAAATTATCTTCTAAATAACTATGCTTACACCCATAAGTTAGTGCTGCTCTCAGCTAAGCTTCTTTTTGCAATGGGCAGCTGTTAATAAGATGAATATCTGGTCACCATGCTGGACTCAGTGAGCACTGAATGCTCAGCCATAAATTGGGGGTTCCTATCACCCCCTTCTTTGGCTTAGGAAATGCTACACAGGGCATGGCAGAAAGAGCTGAAGAAGCAGAGGAAGAGGCTGACTTTCTGAACACTATCCCCAGTGTGTGGCCATGGCTACTGCATTTGTGAACTCTCAGCAAGTGTGGTTGCTGACACAGGGCAAGCACTAACTAGGGCCCATCAGCAATCCCTCATGAAGCAAGGAGAAGTCACCAAGTTCCACCCATCCTCAACAGTTAATAGGGTGAGGGAGAGACATTTTTTTTTCAGTGTGTAGCAACTGGTAAGTTGTCCATGTTCCTTCCTAAGAACAATCACTTACCCATGCCCCATCCGTAGCCCTAATGAAACTCACTGGGACACACATGCACACGCACACATCACAAAAACCGCGAGAGCAGAAGAGCAGCCGAGAAGAGGAAGAAGATCAGTGAGCATGGGAAGGGCACAGAGAAGGAGAAAGGGGGCTCGTGTGATCAAAATACATTTTATTCACATATGAAAATGCCTTAATGAAACCCATTACTAAGTAAATTGATATAAAACTTTGAGAGAGAAAAAAAATCCTCAAAATGTGTGAAGACCACTCTTGGTGAGAACAGTCCTCCGTTTGATTTCTCTTCTTTCAGTCTCAGTATGAGCAGAGGCAGCCCAGGGCTGTGGTGCACTCTGGGGGACGTGGGTTAAATGATGTGGTTATTTTCTCTGCGTGACACTTAGACCTTGGTGCCAGGATCTGCGGGTTTCATGGCAACAACTGCCAGGGCTCCTGGGACAGTCCCCAGGCATCTAGAGCCCTGCAGTCTTGGCAGCCCCTGTTCCCCAAATGGACACAGCAGCAATCGAGGCCAAGAACCCAAGCATGACCTAGCAAACAGCTGGCAGGCTATTTTTAAAATCCAATTTAAAGTCATGTATGTATAAGCCCCAGTGGATTTCCCTGGGGAATCTTATCCTCAAGTGGAAAATGCTCTACGTCAAATAAGGTAATCTCTGCTTTGATTGCCAGCAAGCCCAAGTGCAGGGCCCTATTGCCTACAGCACTGAGTGCTAATCCAGTTTAAGCACAAGGGAGGCAGAGCTGGGGAGTCAGGGTGACTGGAGGGCCTGGAGAGAAAGGTCAGGCCTACTGATATTTATCAGGTTAACACGGTTAGCATGTGTCTGGATTAGTCCGGTAAAAGAAAAGAAAACAAGGACATGAGCTGAAGCTCAGGGAAGAGAGAGTGAGGCATGGATCTGCCTGCCCTATGCCACCATGCTCTGGCAACCTTAGATTCCCTCATGTCCCTGCCCAGAAATTAAAAATACAATTAGAGGACCCCGAAGAAAGAGGAGGGAGGGAAACCGTGGTTCTGGAAGGAGTGGGCAGACAGGGCGGGAGGTAGCAGCCCAGCTCTGTACAGCCAGCTTGTCTGGCTCTGGTCACTGCCTCTTTTTGTGATCTTGCCACCCAGCTTAGGTGTCAGGCGCCAATGGGAAGATAAAGTATCTTATCCCTGGACCAGAGGCACAGTGCACCCTGCAAGGACAAGCATTTTGCTTCTCCTAAGAAACACATTTTTTTTTCATACAGTAACCCAGATTTGTCTGTGTTTTTCTTCTTTGTAAGGCCTGATGTAACAAACTGGACAGATACATCTAGAGAAGGATGTCTTCTCTTTTATCCTGCACTGGGCACTTCCCGCTGCTCCTGCCTCAGACTCGCCTAAACGGAACTAGGTGTGGCGCTATAAGCCTTTGATCTCAGCACATGAGAGGGGGAGGCAGGAGATCAGGAGTTCAAAATCCATCTGCATAGAGTTCAGAGTCAGCCTAGACTACATAAGGGCCTGTTTCACAGGACTAAAACATCAATAGCAAGCGTTAAGAGAGAGAACACAATGAGCGTGGAGTACCCAGAACCACACTGAAAAACAGAAGCCAGGAGAGGCATATGCTTGCCATTCCCGTGCTGGAGACCCAGAAATAGGCAGGTCTCTGGGGTTTAGTAGCCAGCCAGCTGACGTAGCCAGGTCCAGAGCAGTGAGAGATCCTACCTCAGAAAGGTGGACAGTGTCCTGAGCACCCATGCTGCTGTCCAACCTCCATGTGAAGTCACACATACACGCATGGGCACCTGCACTCACAAGCACACCCAAACACATGCAAACAGACACAAACAAAAACAAAAAACAAACCAGGATAAACCCAAAGGGCTCTTGGCTACGTCTACTGTGCCACAGCCCCCGCCATGCTATCTAGCCTTCCCTTCCCTTCCTTTTCCTAGTCACTGAACAGAGAGAGCAGCAGACAGAGCCACAGGGAGAGTGACAGGCTTCAAGAGTGCCGAGAAGGCTGAAGTAAGCCCTGACCCAGATTCGCTGTGATGTGTACAGTGACAGGCCCATAGTGGCTGGAAGAGGCCAGGCTCTAGAAAGGAGCTAGTTCTACTGGGTGAGGTGTAAAGACGGGAAAGGAGCCAAATCTGGGAGGCTGCTGTCTTATGGTTGACTTCATCAGGAACCTGGCGTTCAATTATTCAAACAAAGCTGAGGTGTGAAGATTACCTAGAGCTGAGGCCAGCCTGGTCTGCATAGTGAGCTCCCAGCCAGTCTGGGTTTCACAGTGAGACTCTACGTCAAAAATAAAACGAAAGCACATGCCGGGCCTGGTGCATGGTAAATGCTATAAAAACTGGCATCATGGTTGACCAGAAAGCTGCCTTCCCCACAGAATGACTGAATCAAAGCAAGCTGGTCCACATCTGGTGCAGTTTTGCTCTCATCAGCATGACAAGCACCTTCAGTTCCCCACCATCCATGGCATTGAGCAGCTTCAGACGTGTCACTACTGATGTCCTCAATAGTGTTATCAGGGTCCCCACAAAGTACTGTAAACGTCGTATCCAGGAACAAATGCAAAATTTGGCAATTATCTTACTACTCGAAAACACAGTGGTAAATTATTCTTTGATCTTGATCTTCTCATACAAATACATTCTGCTGGGCCTCTGTGAAGGCTAATGAAACAGTGCCTCCAGAAGCAACCTGCTCCATAGCTGTTCTCCATATTTTACCTCTGTAACAGGTAGATTTGGGGATTTTTTTACTATCTCTCATTACAATAGTTCTCAAAGGGAAATAGCCAAACTTTTATCATCATATATGAATGGATAAATAAACTGTGGTCTATTTATACAATGGGATGGGGAACTGGGAATTAACTATTCATGATTGCATGCAACAATACAGGTGAATCTAGCAACTATCACATTAATCTGAAAGCCAGTCAGAACTAGGCATATGAGTGTATGTTTGTACTCCCAGCACTTGGGAGGCTAAATACGATTGAGGAGTGTTTCAAGCCAGCATGAACTACATAGTGAGTTCCATAGAGATCCCATTTCAAAATAAAAAAGGGCCAGCAAGATGGCTTAGGGGGTAAAGGTGCTTGCTGCCAAGCCTGATGACCTGAATTCAGTCCATGGCATCTACACAGTAGAAGGAAAGAAGCCCCTCCTGCAAGTTGTCCTGTGACCCCCAAAGGTATACAGTACCTGCTTGTGCATGTGCGTGTATGCCCACCCACTCTTGCCCCAAAAAAATTTAAAAAGAAAAGGAAAGAAAGCATGTGTAAAGCAAGCTTACTGAAGGAGACAGTGGCATGACCTTATTAATGCCACAATAGGAAAATGCAAGATATATGTGACACCATTAAAAGAAGGACAAATCCTGGGCTCCATGATAACCTGGATCTGGCAAGTCTCCTGGAGGGTTGTTAGAGCTAGCTGGGTCCAAGCATGTAGACAGAGTAGGACTAAGCCATCTCAGGCATTCACCCTGGGGCCTCCTTAGGAGGAAGAAACTGTCCACAAAGAAAATGGAAGTGAGATGACAGCTTTAGCTGTCCTTATTTTTTATATTAACTAGGGAATAAAAGCCCTCAAAAAAATAAGCTAACAGCAGCATGGGAAATGTCAATCTCTCTCTCTCTCTCTCTCTCTCTCTCTCTCTCTCTCTCTCTCTCTTTCTCTCTCTCTGTCTGTGTGTGCGTGTGTGTTTGTGTGTTGCTCACTGAGACCAGGTAGCTTTTTTTAAAAAAAAAGTCTCACACATTTCAGGCAGGCCTCAAACTCTCCATAGTTGACAGTGGCCTTGAACTCGTGATCCTCCTGCCTGTACCTCCCACTACTGGGATTACATTCAGTAATGGCCCATGGTCAGTTTATATGGTGTCAGGGCTTTGCTCATGATAGGCAGGCACTCCTATCCTTAGCTCCTTTCTGGCTATTTTCTTGGTGGTTTTTTTTTTTTTTTTTTTTTTTTTTTGCAGTGGGTTTCACTATGTAGCCAGGGTCGGGCTGGAACTGACTGTATTGACCAGACTGGCCTTGAACTTTCAATGTGTGCCACTCTGCCCATTTGAGTGATCTTTTTCAAGAACAAGAGACAACGTTCGGAGTTAAGATCTTATTGGGCAGGTGTGGCCAAGCAGAAGAGGACTGGTTTAAGCAAAGCTTAAATAACCAGGCTCTGCATTTGCAAGAGCAGACATTGGGGACCACTCCCTTCTGGTTTTCCCCTCTGTTCCACTACCACTTCCTCATCCTCTACCCAACTGCTAACTTCAGAATCTCCCTTGAGCAGAAAGTCTTTTAATCTCCATGCTTTCCTTATACTTGCTTTCTGCTACCATCCCCCCCCTCCCCCCGAAGACAGGGTTTCTCTGTATAACAGCCCTATCTGTCCTGCAACTGGTCTAGTAGACCAGGCCTGCCTTGAACTTACAGAGATCTGCCTACCTCTGCCCCTGAGTGCTGGAATTGAAGGTGTGCGCCACCACTGCCCAGCTTACCATCTTTCCTGATGTGGTATCTTCAGCAGCAATCTGGTCCACATCAGATTCTTTCTTTTCTTTTTTTTCCATTTCCAATCCAGAATTCTGTGAGTTCCTGGTGTGCACTTATCCCTGGGAAGATCAACAAGCACCATTCACCTCAGATAAGGAACTAATGACAGTGGAACAAGTCCACTCAATAGCGTGGTGAACCAATGAGTTTAACTGGGGTTACTCACAGAAGGCTAGGTTCCCAGCAGGAGCACCACTCAAGAAAACATCTCTGTCTCCCATAACCGGTATCTGCCTATTTATTGTTAGGAAAGGAAAGGGTCTTGGGAGTCTCTCACCTCCATGATGGGAAGTTATTGGGTCCAGTCTTGTGAAAGTCCTGAATTAATGCTGGCTGCAAAGATAAAAGGACAACGGCCTTGTGGTGCTCAGAGAACAAGTGGTCCACAATAGCTCCAAATCCCACGATATGTTCAAACCTCAGTCCATCACCCCCAAGACCAAACTCACTTTCTTCTTCCCCAGCCTTTCCCAGCCTTTAACTTCACTAACCCCTTGCTTCCTTCTGGGTGCTCTCATGGGCAGCTCACCCTCCACTCAGCTACCTGCCACCTGGGAGGCCTCCTTCATTCCCTGGTTCTCATCTTCATCCAGCTGGGCACAACATTGCCTTCCTCTTTTCTGTTTGTTGTGTGTATGTATGTGCACCATGGCACACACATACAGCTCATGGGACAACCTGTGGCAGTAGGCTATTTTCTTCTGTTGTGTGAACCTATACTGCATTCATGTCACCAGGCCCTGATTCTAGTCTCTTATGCTCCCTTTCCTCCTCCTCCCACTGACCTGCTCTTCAGAACACCCAAATCTTCATGTACCGTTGCTTTCATTCACACAGCTAAAACAATCAGCTCACTCAGGAGAAGCCATCATTTCTCTAATGTAAAGTTCCTCTTCCTCTCATTTATCTCTTACGTTCCTTGGCTTCTTTCAAAAGATCCATTTTACTGATATTTATTCATTTGTGAGTGTGTGAAAATGCATGTTTGGCATGACCCCTCCGTGGGCATCAGAGGACAAATGGAGTCAGTTTTCTCCTTCCACCATGTGGCTCTTCAGGTGACCTCAGATGTTTAGGTTTAGTACCAAGCATCTCTACCTGTTGAGCTACCTCACTGACCCAAAAGATTTATTTTAAAATAGTTTTGCATATCCATAGTATATATATTTAAATATTATGAACCAAAATAACCCCTTTTTTTCAAGCTGAAGAAATGGCTCAGTGAGTAAGAACACTTGCTGTACAAGCATGAGGAACTGAATTAGATAACAACACCTATGTAAAAAGCTGGGTGTGGTTGTGCCCTCCTTAACCCCAGATTTGTGAAGGGTGGAAACAGGAGGGTCACTGGAGCTTGCCAGCCTAATTCCACATTCGGTGGCAGGACCTGTCCTGAAGGAAGAAGAGAGAGACTTACAGAGAAGGGTGCCCAACATCCTGCTAGGGCCTTCATGGGCACACCCATAGCATGTGCACACATGAACATGCTCAGAATTTCCTGCAAATATACGGGGCACAGGGCTCATACTCGCAATCCCAGCACTGGAAAGGCAGCAGTAGGAAGAGGGCCCCAAGTCCAAGTCCAGCTTGGACTACCAAGTGAGTTCCAGCCCAACCTGAGCAATAGTGTGAGACGCTGCCTCAAAAAGTAAGTTAAAAAAATTCAAACATTCAGGGCTAGAGAGATGGCTCAGTGGTTAAGAGCATTGCCTGCTCTTCCAAAGGTCCTGAGTTCAATTCCCAGCAACCACATGGTGGCTCACAACCATCTATAATGAGGTCTGGTGCCCTCTTCCGGCCTTCAGGAATACACACAGACAGAACATTGTATACATAATAAATAAATAAATAAATATTTTAAAAAATTCAAACATTCTAGAAAAGTACCAAACAACAATAGCAGAAGCAAAACTTCTCTTTTCAGGGCTGGAGAGATGGCTCAAGGATGAGTGTGTTTGCTGCTCCTGCAGAGGACCTGAGTTCAGTCCCCATCCCCACATTAGGCAGTTCACAGCCTCCTGGACTCCAGTTCCAGGCGATCTGACACCCTCTTTTTACCTCCTATAGATATCTACTTGCACACAAAGTCATACAGGCACACACACACACACACTTAATAAATAATAAAATTTTAACACAAACCCAGGCACATGATTTTGACATATTTTGCCAGCTTTTCTTTAGCGAACTCTCAGTGGCAGAATTGCTGAATCACAAATGTAAGTGCCCCAGTGTTGACAGACATTACTAAATGCCCCTACCGAAGGGGTGGCTGTGTTTACACTGGCANTACACGGCCTGCCTGTTACACTGGCAGCTCAGAGCCCAAGCCTCCCAGGTCGTAAAGCAAAGGGTAATAAAGAATTACGGGGCCCAGTAAAATGAAAATTGAAGGCAATCAGCTCTCTTCAGAGGATCACTGCTCGCAGAACATCCAGAATTGTCACCCCCTCCCCCACTGTAAGAGGGAGGGTGGGGGAGGCAGAATCTGTCCTCTTACAAGTGGCTATGCTCCCCTATTTCAAGACTCTCACCCCAACTCCCTTTGAGGAGGTCCATCAAAGGCCCAGCTAGCAACTCCAGGGCCGGCCCCTGCTCTCCGCCACGGCCACCTCCACTCTTGCCTTGGGACTGCTGGAGTAGGGTCCTTCTCTACCACAGCTGGGGAGTTCAAATGAGTTCAGCCTTCATTCTGGAAGCAGCAGCTCCTTGGCCGATGTGTCCAGTTAATTAGATGCCAGCTACCCGAGTGCCAGTCACAGAGACCAAGTGTCACACCAATGTCAGGAAGCTGTGGTTTGCTCAGTTTCAAGGGACACAGCCATGAAGGGTCATGGTTGGTTGCAAAAGGCACAGGAATGACGATAGGCACTGGGGTGTGAGTAGGTTGCTTCTTTCTTTCTTTCTTTCTTTCTTTCTTTTTTTCTTTCTTTTCTTTTCTTTTTTTTTTTTTTTTTTTTTTTTTTTGAGACAGCTTCACTACATAGACTCAACTAGCCTTGAACTCACAGAGATTTGTCTGCCTCTTCCTCTGTCTTCCTAGTGTTGGGATTAAAGGCATGTGCTGGCTATACCCAGTCAGTTTGTTTTTACTTTTAAAATTTGTATTTATTTTGTGCTGAATGAGGGGCATGTGCATGCCACAGTTCATGTATGGAGGTTGGGGGACAATTACAAGAATCCATTCTTTCCTTCCACCCTATGGGTCCTGGGAACTGAACTCAAGTCATCAGACTTGGTGGCAAGCACCTTTACCTGCTGAGCCATCTTGTTGGTTTAGTAATTTTTTTAAATGTAGTCTGGATTGTTTTTCCTAGCCATAGGAGACAGTACCTGTGGGATTTAAGTTTTGGAGTCTGCAGTCCTTTCACAGAGCCCAAGTTCCCTTTTCATAGGAAGGAGCTGCATGATGACGCAGGCAAACTTACAGGCCATTTCCTGACCCAGAAAAGGAATTAGCACGGCAAAAGAACAAGGTTGTCTCATCTCCTGCAGGCTCATCCTCTGTAGTCCAGACTAGATCTAAACGGGTCATCTGCACACTTAAACGACCTCTTCCTTTGCAAACAGGGACTTGGCAGTTATATACTTACTTTAAATCAAAACTTTGAACTGAGGGCTACTATGTCACAGTATTGACAATAAATGAGTCATTTAATGTCTTTAGTATTAGTATTTAGGTCATTAAGATGAGCAAGGAAGAAGCTTTCATTTTGCCGAGAATCATAAGTGTGTGCAGAATTTCTCAGTGACTATGACACTGCTGGAGTTCTGAGCACTTGGCTCATAAAAGGGTTGGGTTACACAGGGGCCACTCACAGGAGCACACAGCGCTTCTGCCACTTTTACTCGGGGCCAGTGATATGAAACCATCTGCCAAGTGGTCCATATCTCACAGAAACATCCACCACATTTTAGCAGACCTCTTCCAGACAGCAGAGGGGAGGGCATCCAAACTCCCAGGGAAACCTGAGCAGGTCTGATTTTCCACATCTGAACAAATCCTTTGCTCCAGTCCTTGGCCACAATTCGCTAAGCAGCAGATCCACTAGGAGTACCAAGAGGCTGCCTTTTTAGTCTCTAGGAGAGGAAGCCTACAACCACCACTGCAGAAGTCTTGCTCGTGCACAACACTGTCTGCCTGAACTCCCGCTTGCTGATAGAGGAGCACATCTCTTCCTGACAGTCAAGGTCGTATCAAGTGGCCCAGTGCCCCCAGCCCATGGTAGGGGCACTGCCAAACTACAGGCAGGAATTAAAGTGTAAGCATGCAGACCAGCACTTTTGCTTCATTGCCGCCGTGATCAGAGAATACGTAGACAAGCTTCAACCTGTGAAAGCTGTTAGTTATCAGAGTCATTGGTTTTCTTAACCCTTCAACTAGGCATGTCCAGCTGCAGCCTGATGGGAGCTGCATGCAGCTGCCTAAGACCAGGGATAGGAGGTCTGGGAGGCTGGGAAAGAACAAGCAGTCTCTGCCTACAATAGATAGCTATGAGAGCTAAGGCTGAGAGGGGTAAGTCCAGATGATAATGAAAAAAATCTCATCCTATCCCAACACTCAGGCCTATGGATCAAGTTAAAACAGCCATGGTTCTAGACAATGACAAACAGCTGGACTAAACTGCAATCAAATGGTGTCATCGCACCTGTATGAGTCACTGGGCGGTGAGAGTTAGGCTTTGGTCACAGCAGATGAAACTCAAACCAGAGCTTCTTGCCACTGCTGCCTCTTCCTATCTATCTATCTATCTATCTATCTATCTATCTATCTATCTATCTATCTATCTATCATCTTATATCTGTCTTATTATTGGTCAAAGAGCAGGATAATCTGGAGACAGACTCACAAATCACCTCCTTAGAGGTTGTGGAAGTCAAATACAATGAAAAACATGAAAGAGAAGAATATTCGTGTTTTCTTCTGGGAATGGGAGATTTTCCTCAAATTCAGAGACCACTGGTTTTTTTGTTTTGGGGTTTGTTGTTGTTGTTTGTTTTTGTTTTTTGTTTTTCAAGACAGGGTTTCTCTGTGGTTTTGGAGCCTGTCCTGGAACTAGCTCTTGTAGACCAGGCTGGTCTCCAACTCAGAGATCCGCCTTCCTCTGCCTCCCAAGTGCTGGGATTAAAGGCGTGTGCCACCACCGCTTGGCTGACACCACTGTTTTTTTGTTGCTTTGATGGTTCCTTTCTGTCATCATCAGGTAACTGTCAACTGCTGTAGTGCCAGGGACGAAGTGCCATTTAATATGCAGATGAGATTATAATGAAGCTAGCTGGTGTTATTTAAACAAAAAATGTCTCTGAGAGCTTCGTGTATTTGAACACTTGAT